AAGTCATCGCTGTCAAAATCGACGGCTTCACGCCTCAACAGCAGTTTGAACGAGCTGCTGTCGGACAAACAGCAGTAGCGTTCGAGTTGCTGCTCTTCCGACAGCGCAGCGACAGCGTACGCCTCTGCAGCATGGTGACAGCGGCGCCTGCTACCCCTGTAGATCCACGGGCAGTGGTACGCGGCGGCAGTCATGCATCTCCACCGCGATTGCTGCCCTTTTACGGTTTTATCTTCTTTTTTTTTTTAATTTCGATCCAAAATATTTTCTATGCAAAATCAGATTTCAAATTTTTGAAAATTAAATTTCTTTAATTGCTAGAAACTAGAAAAAGAAACACAATAATCAACCTTTGATCGTACAATGATGTTAAACAATTTTCAACAAACACAAAGTAGACTCTGATTCCACTGTTGGAAATTTACTTAACATACGCAGCGAAAAATTAAAACAATTTTCGATTCCAGCCAGGATTCATCTTTGTGTTTAGATAGAAATTGTGATAAAAGTGATACCTTGTCACGATCTGCAAACTCTTTTGCCTTATCTTTGTTCCAGCGACCTTGATTCATCACCCACAGCTGTCCAATTATCCAACCTCTAACGGTGATCCACACAGAGAACAAAATTGTAGTATTAGGATTTTTCTTGTGCTAGCAAGAATAATGAAAAATCACTACAATTTTGAAAATCCTAATCATATTTATATAAGCTGAAACGGGCTTAACCTGACCCGGCCAAACATTTAATTAACTCATTTAATTAAATTCGGTCCGTAAATTAATTAATCCAATTAATCAATTCAGGTCTGTAAATAAGCAACTCAATTAATTAATTTATCCAACATTTGTTAAATTAATTAATTAGCAAATCACAATCTTCCAGTTCTCCTTTTGTGTGCAACCCATTAGGTTCTCGATAATGATGTCTAATGACGTGAAATATTATTTTGATCTAATCAAAATTGATAAATTAAAACATCCTTTTAATTTATCACCAATCACACTCGCCATCTCAGATTGATATCTAGCAATGTATCAGGGCAATACATGTGATGAAAAATGTCACATGGTATGACAAAACCACACTCGTTCATTTACCGTGAAACTATAATCCCTTCGTCATTTACGAGATATGGAAGTGTGTCAATCTCGATTATCGATCATATCTTTCACACCACTATTAAGTCAATATAAGTTGAAATTCCTTTTCGACTTATAAGTACACCTTAGCCAAGGATTTCATTATCGACTTAATTGAATGAAATGCAGATCATAATCTCTTACTATTCAAAAGTTATGAATTCTCTATTGATCATTCACAACCTTCATATGATTTTTGACATACCCGAACGATGCCATATTAGCGGCCCTTGGCATAGCAACATCTAACACCGTCAAAACATGACCATTCTCATATAAGGTACTATGATGACCTCAAGTCAAAAGGACCAATCCCATTACCGAACGTTAGAGATTAACCATTGACACTCAGATAGTTATCCATATGGAATCTCTCGACGGGTCTCCAATATTTTGTTCTATAACAAAATATTCACGTGTTCATTTAAGTGTCACTACACTTGAGCTTGTAAGATTATCTACTTACTTCACAAGTAAGCAATGCCACACGTGATGGTCTATCCGTAATAATGATATCCGTATCTCGTTATTACTTACGAACATAGATGATTTAAGATACAATCATATGTAATTTGTATTTCACAATCACAACTCCTTGTGATTAACAAATTACGAAGATTTAAATCTACGAACTCTATTATTTAATTTAATTTTTCTATTAATTAAATAATAGATCTGTCATTAAATTACATTAATTATATATCAAAAGTATTTATATCCAAAATTGATTAGACGTAGGACATAACACTTACAATATTGCACTCATACATACACCTCCAAGGCTCCTCCTTCTGTCTAAAATTGCAGCAACTGTGTGACCAAATGAAATCCTTAACAAATCCTATCTCATACAAGCATACATCTTATCATGTAGATTGACAACAAATTCGCCCTTTGGACATTTCATATAATATTTTTATGGAGAGAGAGATAAATGAGAGAAAAAGTAAATTTAGATAAAAAAGAAATAGTAATTGAATTTTCGGAGAACAAAAAATAGTTAAAAATTGACATGTTAAGCATTAAATAATGTAATACATAGGTTGTGATTTTTTATTATCAATTATGGATATTTTGATCAATTTAACTCTTTTTAATGGAAAGTTTTACTTTTTTTAGTAAAAGTTATTTTTTTGTTACCATTATTATCAATTATGGATATTTTGATCAATTTAACTCTTTTTAATGGAAAGTTTTACTTTTTTTAGTAAAAGTTATTTATTTGTTACCATGCCGTATACAAATATTGTAGATGTAGTGTAAAAATATGATATATAAAGTTTAAATGCAACCGTAACAGTGGGTCTATTTTGTAAATTTCCTATTAAGAAGTGGTGACGTAGAATAGATGGTAGGGTGGATTGTGGAATAGTAAGACTGAAAAGGGAAAAACGGTAAATTGCAAATTTGACGTTCGAGCTCCAATTTGATCCCATACTACTTTTCGAAAAGGGAACGATGGGCTTGACTAAGCTCACATTTTTGTTGTGAAGTATGATGAATTTTAGCCATTCGAGTTCGTTTAGAACTCGAAAGCCCTTTTCTTTTAAATTTTTTTGTGCTTTTTGTCATTTAGTTTATTTTTCAGTAAACTAGTTTTCCATATAAACCCTCGTAAATAAAGGGTTAATTCTTCAATATTCGATAGTTTTTAATTAATAAAATATCTTAAAGATATATTTCATTCTCCGGTGGATTTCAAATTTGTGTTTTTAAGATTTTTGCTCGAATTTCATGTTTTTCACTGCTTCAAGTGGTCACTAAAATTTTAAAGTTTTTAGTGGAACCCTAGAGTCAATTTTAAAACTTGAGATTATCAATTAAAACAAGAAAAATTTTAAACAGCATCAAACGACGTTAAAATCGAACTTGTTTACTCATTCAAAGAGCAGTACGAAATCTGGCATTTAACACATTCATAGTTGTCAAATACAGTCCATTAGTTGCCCATGTAAGAAATCGCCATCATCCGTACAAGAAGACACAAAAAAAAAAAAAAAAAAAAAAAAAAAAAAAAGAACAGGAAACCGGAAGCAGTTCATCAATTGTCACAGATTGGAAATAGCTGGAAACAAAGGATCTGATGGAAATGTTGTTCAAAATCATTAAACGGCGTGCGGAATGAATAACTGAATTGGAGGCCAAATGTTTGTTCTATGCGATTGTAGCATGCAGTTGCATGATGGTATGGACTATGGAAATACCTATATGCGACCGCATAGGATTGGCCTATGCGACCGAATATGGTTAAGTCATAACCGTTGGAGGCCGCTTCAATTTGAATCCCGGCAGTTTTTTGGAAGGAGCATTGCAAGTTTTCATAATGTTTAGACACCAATTTGTGGGGTATTGATTCAAACCTATAAATAGATGATGTGATGTTCAATACATGACATTGAAATCATATTGCAACATATGAATTATATTAACTTCATTCCACAAGAAAGAAAGTCCATTTCTTCTTCCATATTCATACATTCCCTGTATTCTTCAAGTTCGCGTAGAAAATTTTTTGTTCTTTTATGTTCTTCTACAACAAGGCTTGATTAATTGTACAAACCATTTGTTGCAAGACTCTTTAAGTCAGAGACAATTATCGTTTGAGGATAGCAAGATTAATTTCGTGTTCGAGCCTTCATATTTTGTTTTGTTCTCTACTCATTTCATCTTCTTGATATTTTGTTTCTTGTTTTTCTTCTCCAAACCTCGGCGGTAAAAATTTTCCAACAAGATCGATCAGCTGTATAATAATTGCAAAGTTATACTGCTAAAGACATGCGAGTGTATATTAGTGAGAATGCATAGAATTTTGAAAGTGTAATGGAGTTGGTGTACACCCATCTCTATTTAGTCGCAGTCTACATGGCTGCACAACTCGGTAAGCCTAATCACGCATGAGCTAGCTCCTTGGCTCGTGATTCGACTGTCGCTCACATGATGATTTTTACTACTCATTTCACTTAATATTCCTAATCAGGCACCATGCTACGCTAAATTAACAAAATGGTATCAAGGTTAACGGAAATGATGACGTGACATAATTCATTATTTTTATCATCCAACTAAACAAAAATGCACATTGTTGGATAAGTGGTTTGTTTTTCTTTTGAAAAGCATCTTGATCATAATAGATAATATATTTAAATTTAAAGAATAATTTTTTTTTAGTCAGTCCAACAAACTCTCTTCATTTTTGCTCTTTATTTTACTTTTTTCAACAATCATTATTGTTTTCCTTCATTTTTCAATTAACATATATACTTTTAGTTGTCAATAGCTAAAAAATCCATTATAATGTGAAGAGTTTCAATAGTGGAGTATCAATATTTGTAACATTATTAAAATCTGATAAAATATAAATAGAGAGTGAGTTTGACTCTTAAAACGTAGAAAGACGAATCTATTCTCTTATTTAAAAAATGTTAAAATAAAGAGTCTATTGAAACCTAATTTCAAGATTTAACTTTTTAAAATAAAGAAAATTTTACTTTTTCCCTCAAAGATGATTCAATTTAGTTACTAATTAGTTAGGCTTTTAGTCAAAGTTCATACACTTTATTTTGCCCTTGTTTGGTATAAATTTTTAAACTTTATTTTTTTACCTAACTCATTTTCAACCATAAATTCCTTCAATAAAATAATTTTACATGTTAACCCTTATTTTTAAACGCGCATTCTCCACAAAAATTGCTTTTCACAAAATTTATTGTCAAATAATCTGACATCAAACAGACCCTTTGCCTCTTTCTGATAAATGTACTGCTTTACAAGCATATTCCCAACAGTTCTGCCCAAGTACTTCTGGTCACTTTCGACCTCAGTACTTGCACTATTCATTGTAATCAAATAATAGCAGGATGTAGCCATTCAGGGCTTTTATCTCCAACTAAATCATTCTATCCAAGATTTGGAGAAAGAATTGTGAAATTTTAAACAATTACTAGAAATAGATTGCCTTAAAAGTTTCCATGGAAAAATTTATTGATTCACCATCAGACACTATCCTTCTATGCAGTGTTTGCACATTTTGCATCTTGGATGCAATCTTATGCCGTTTTAACTTGGCATTCAAACATCGACTGAAGCTGCTTCGCTTGTTCTTCAATCCGCATCTGCAAGTTTCTTTGACTCTAAATCAGAGCCGAAACAAAAAATGAATAATGAATGAATGAAGCGAGAGGTGAAATAGAAAAGGGCTATGGAACCGAACCTCCAATTGCTCGTATAAGTGCCTTTGGACGTCTATCTGTAGCCTTAGTGCTTCTAAAATTTGCACCCCCCTGTGTATAGTACATATTTGTTAAATTGAGATATCTAAAAACTTCGTTTAACAAGATGAAAATAATCCCTCTACAAGTGTCGACCAAAATTAACATAGTCCAAAAGATTTGTTTCCCTTAAATATTTGTGACAAGGTTGGTTTCCCTTGGATCAAATGGAATGGCAAAAAATCGTTCATGTAGTCCATTTCAAATTTATAGAATGTGAAAATAAGCAAAAGGTAAACTTATTATAGGATGTTATGGATCCACAATTGGATCTCTGTTTCTCTGGTACGAGTCATCAGCAAGAATTTTGATTTTTGGAAGAATATTTATTGGATGTTAAACTTACGTTTCTGCATCGAGTCGTGGCCCTTGTGGGGTTGAATCGTTGCATATCAGTTTCTCATCTTTTCCTGCGTTATTGAAACAGATAAAACCATAAACCAGTGTAGAAGAAGTGAATAAATTATGCACACTAATTCAAATAAATGTCCCCATCCCTAACATCTAAGTTTTTAGACGAGATGGTTCAAAGTTATCAACGTAAGCGATGTCCACTAGTGGACCGTGGTGCACGTGCGCATGCTAGCAAAATGAAACTTTAGAAAGTTTACAGATAGGAAGGCAACCAGTATCTGTTCAAGTTCCATTATAGCCTGTACCTTTCGTAGATTCTGATATGTAGTGAGAGACACGATACTTCTGCAGATATTACACGAAAAAAAAAATAACATAAAAACTCGAGATTTCTCGTGGTTAGCCAGTTAAAAATATATGTATAGTTGCTAAACAAACCTGTAAATGGCTCTTAACATGAAAGATTGTCAATCCATCACAATTCATTAGCTCCAGGATCCCCTTAGGTGTTGCCTCTGCACTCAGCCAATTCAATAGTATAATAACTAGTTACTACATTTATTACAACAACTACTTCAAATAATTTCTTATTTTTACTTACTTTTGGCACCCCCAAGTCGATTTACACAGTCGATGAATTTCTCGTGAAGATCCTGAGTCCATCTTATCCGCATTTTATTTCGAAAGGTTGGTTTTTGTGAAACAACATTATTGGAAACAGTAGATATAATCCCTTTGCAACTACATGGCTTCACAATCTGAGTGTCACAGGAATAATTTTTCACCTGTCAAAACAGACGTAAATATAATGTTTTACGAGCGAGGAAAATCAGGTATCAATCGAGTTAATCTAATTTACTCACTTCGAAATTTTCGTCGAAGCTTAAATAAGAATGGCTCAAGTTTTGATTCTGATGGAAAAGGGATCTAATGGACTTCTCCTCTAAGTTAAGGACTTGATTACCACGAAAAGAAGATTCCACAAGGGAATGCAAAGTGTCTCTATGTGGAAAATTGGCATAATCTTTTTGTGCTGAATCAAAATCATTCAAAGGCCTAAATGCTGTGATTGCTGGAGTAACATTGATCATCGACATTTGAGAACACGACGAGGTGTTGCCAACGTTATGAACATAACTTGGCGACTCAAACCGGATAGAAACATCAACATCAGATAAAGTATCCAACTTCAGATTCTGCTTTTTCGCAGAAGATTTTCGCGACTCAAAAGAAAAACCATCGACTGATTCAAAGCCATATCGAACATCAATCTGTCTATTGTTCATTTTTAGGCTACCAAGAGAAGAACGAAAAGTAAAGCATTCGAAGATTGAACATGAAAGGCTGGTGCTTTATTAATAAGTTTGTCCAACTGTATCATAGAAGAATTGATGCAAAATGACAAGACTACAAGAAATAGAAGGTTGAACCAATGAGAAAACTCTATATGACAAGAAAAGGTGAATTTTTTCATGAGCTTTGTCGATGCTTTTTTAATTTTTAATAAGGTAAAGGATAGGGACGAAAAAGCTTATAAGATACAGCCCAAAAGAGGACATTGACAGAGAAATAGGCCAAGATGCATCTATACTGATAAAAAAAAAAAAAGAAGGGTTAAACCCTAACTTTAAGGGTCCACCACCACCACCACCCTGGAGTATCGTGAGGGAGGTAAATCGCAGGTTATGCCTTCAAGGGTACAGGATGGAAGGCTGCTTGTACACTTGCACTTACCCAAGAGCCAAATCCATATTTTAGGATTCGAACCCTTGACGCAGCAGCCTCAATCTCTTTTATCACTTAGAGATGTGCCCTGGGGGTCAAGATGCATCTATACTGATACAGACATGAACCTGATCAAGGCAAATTCTAATTAAGATAAAGCAATATAATTAAATCACAAACAGCTTATTTGCCAGTTATCAAAGTGGACTAATATAATTTGAGAGAACTTTCATTTGTATCCTCTGATCTATGCAGATTCTTTGAGAAAGTGATGTTTTAATCAGTAAAATAATATGAGATAGAATGTTGTCAGAGTTGGGATATATGCCCAAATATATATAATAAAATGTTGATTTATCTTCTAATTATTATTTATGTATTTGATATTTGAGGAAATAATGAAATTTACCTTGATCACGGATATTATTATAAATTGAACATTTAATCGATAAGTGTGGAAAGAATCAATTTATAAAGTGATCAAAAGATAATTGTCCAAGACTAATAAATAAAATCGAACTCTTTATTTTGATAAAATTGTATTATCTTTATTGAAGTTTATTAAATACTTGAAGTTAAATAGACATATTAAGTGATCATTACGATTACCGAAATTATTATGATGAATATGAACATGCATATGGACTAGATACATTTCAATCGTTGACCATGAAATACTTAAATGGATATATTAAGTGATCTTTGAAAGGTTCATATCAATTGGTTAATAAAGAATACTCTAATTAGTCTGAATTTCATTTTTCTCGTCCCAATAATATAGGCCCGTTTCATAAGTTAAAATGTTTTGTTTTGTTTCTTTATCAATATACCCTTATTCAATTTTCTCCACTTAATATGTCAATTTCTTGAAATCATCTTAATACACACATTTTTCACTTATTGGAAAAATGGAATAACTCTCTTTTCTTCTTCTTCAAATTAAATCATTCAAATTCTTTACTAATTCCAACAATAATTTACTATTATATACTGAAAATTAAATAGGGGTAAACTAGGAAAGATTTTAACAAAAATAATTTTTCAATGATATTAAAGAAGATTTCTTAATCCATGTGAAGAACGAAACAAGCTTATATAATTGGGACGAAGGGAGTAGCATATATGGGGAGACGAAAAGGAAGTTTTCATTTTCTACATCAGTTTGCCTTTATATCATATTCTCACTTAACTAGAAAAAGGGAATTTTTGCTTTTTCAATTTTTTGTGCCCCACACGAGAAAAATAGAAGAGAGAAAAATGTATAGTATCCGTTGGAGTTCTTAGGAGAAGACTTGGAGATTCGAAGTTGCGTTGATCAAAAGTGTAAAGCACGCTTCAAGTGTACTTTACTAAAAAGCAACTTGTTTAATTAGTTAAACGAGTGTTTTTTTAGTATTATAGTTACTGCACAATTAGCAATCGATCCTATTTATATCAATTCCAACATTCCACATAAATATATGACGGTGAGTAAACTCTGATTCAAGCTGCTACAATGTCTACTGAATATAGGGATGCAAATGAGTTGAGTTGAGCCATGGCTCGAATAAAAATAGACCGAGTTTTTTTTTTTGCCTGAGCCTATCTTTTCAAAGGCAGCTACCGTCGTGTGGCACAACGATGCAAGACGGAGGGCATGCGTGGGGACGAAACCGCGCGGCGTGTCGGTCGATTGGCCTAGGCATAAGACGCACGCTGCAACGTAGTCCCCGTAACTTCCCAACGTTCGATCGGGAGGCGCGAAATCGTTCGGAAACGAGACCGTCGAAAGGCACGACGATGCAGGACGGAGGGCATGCGTGGGGACGAAACCGCGCGGCGTGTCAGTCGATTGGCCTAGGCATAAGACGCACGCTGCAACGTAGTTCTCGCGAACGCACTCCTTCCGATCGGGTTGCCTAAATATCGATCGAAGCTCGTGCCTTGCATCCCGCGTTGCCTTGGGAGCTACACACTGGCCAAAATGGCTCTTGTTTGTGTGGCTAACATGGGCTGGCTTGAGCTTGAGCCAACACTAGAAAATGAGGCTCGGTTCCAACAAACCAACGTGTTGGATTCACATCCCTATAATTTTTGTACAGGCATCTGCAAAAAAAAAAAAAAAAAAAAAATAGTTATAAAATACTCTCTTTTTTTCTCCTCTTTTAGCCGAAGTTAACAAAAATAAACCAATCCTATTGGCAATAATTGATGAAAACATCTTTTATCAGATATACACTGTGTAGAACTGTACAAGTGACAAAATTTAATGTCTACAAAAAGCCGGGGTTTGTTAGTTATGAAGGGACGTGGCTTCTCGATGATCTATTTGAGGATATAAAACAAGGTTTTTTTTTTTTTTTTTTCATTAAGAAATTGAAGCCGGCCCATATGTGCTTGTCTTTGTTGTTAACTAAATTAAACTGACTCTTTGGAGTCTGGAAGGACGCTATTGAGATATGGGACGCATAATGTGACTATTGAAAAGGTCAAAGCACTAACTACATGAATTGCAGTTCTTTTAGTGAATATTTCAAAGACAAATGATCCACCTATAGATGTCACAATTATCATGGAATTAGGTGTGAGAATGTAACAAGATACGTAAAATTTATATAATTACATGTTACAGAATTTTATCTCACAATTACTACAATATCGTAGTAAAAAAGAAAAATGTCAAATCACTTGACTCCTAAACAAAATAATCAATTGGCAGCTAATTTTATTCCAAATAAGCCCCTCATAGACATTAATCAAGGTCAAAATTTCCAAATTGGTGACTCTTCATATTCACCTTCATCTAGAATCCTCTCAAGAAATCTAAATTCTTACCGCATATTGATATTTTACAAATACTAAGCACATTCTAATCCTTAACATTATTCCATAATCCATGTTTTTGATATTCTTTTTGGCGTGATTAGGGCTTTATCGCTGTTAGAAAACAGAGAAGAAGTATGAAAACTGGAGAATTATATTTTTGAATTGTGTTTATAATACAAGGTGTACGCCCTATTTATACACGAGAGCCTATGCTATAAAATGAGAAAGACACAATAATCCTATAATTAAGCAATCCGTAATCCCCATAATTAAGCAATCCCATTAATTATTCTACAATCACACAAATTACGCTAACACCTCCCCTCAAACTCAAGATAGTCTTGTAAATGTCATTTTGAGTTTGCATACTGAGTCGTGAAAACGCCTAGGCAGGTGAGTTTTAGCAAAGATATCAGTAGTTTGATCAGAGGAAGATACATATTCTAAATGGAGAGTACCAAGAGTAACATGATTTGGCGAATAAAATGATAATCAATCTCAATATGCTCATGAAACACATTATTATGAGTAATCTGAATAGCACTTCGATTGTCACAATGAACAACAATAGAAGATGAGTGAGAGACACCTATATCTTCTAATAAATGATAAAGCCAAATTAACTCCGCAGTAGCATTTGCAATGGCACGATATTCTAACTCTATACTAGAATGAGCCGTGACAGTCTGTTTCTTGATGCGCCAAGAAATAAGTGAGTTGCCCAAAAAGAAACAGTAACCAGTGGTGGAACGACAATCTGTAGGATCATCAACCCAATTTGCATCAGAATACCTAGATAGTACTAGAAAAGAGTGAGATGAAAAATGAAGTCCATAAAAGAGAGTCCCTTTCACATAGCGAAGTATTCGAAGAACAGTAGAGAAGTGAGATGTGCAAGGAGCGGCCATAAACTGACTAACCAAGTGAACTGCAATAGGCAATATCAAGCCGTGTGACAGTTAAATAGATCAGGCTCCCAACAAGTTGGCAATAGAGAATAGGATCATTGAGAGGAGAACCATCCATAGGAGTAAGCTTGACATATGGTTCCAAAGGAGTCGAAACAGTCTTATTGTTTGTGATCCCAGCTCAAGAAAGCAAATCAGAAGCATACTTTGCCTGAGAAAGATAGTAGTCATCTGAGTTTGATGAAACTTCAAGACCCAAGAAATAACTTAGAGGACCAAAATCTTTCATCTTAAATTGTTGATTTAGATACTGTTGTAACTGCAAAATACAGGCTGCATCATCACCAGTTATTATCTTATCAACATAAAGAAGCAGGAGAACAATGCCATTATCAGTACGGCGAATTAATAAAGCAGAATCACGTGGACTAGAAATAAAATCAAACTGAGTAATAGTGGAACTGAATTTGGCAAACCAGGCTTGTGATGCTTGTTTTAACCCATACAAGACACGTTGAAGCTTACATACTTTATTAGGAGGATGAGGAAATGAAGATGGAGGATGCATATAAACTTCTTCTTGGAGATCACCATTTAGAAAGGCATTTTTTGACATCCATTTGAAGGAGCTTCCAACATTTTACAGCGGCAATGACCAATAGACTGTGAACAGAGGTAATTCGAGCAACTAGAGCAAAAATTTCTTCATAATCAATACCATATTCTTGACTATAACCTTTGGCCACTAAACACGCTTTGTAACGCTCAACAGTTTCATCTGAACGAGTTTTTATTTTATAAACTCATTTACATCCGATAGGAGTTTTGCCATGAGAAAGATCAACCAAATCCCAAGTAAAGCTTGAAGTTCTTCATTCATGGCTTGCTACCAAAGAGGATCACTACTAGCTTCACGCAAAGAACATGGCTCGTGCAAGGTTACAATAGCAGAAAAACAATGATAATCATGAAGGTGATGAGGGGTTTCTCTTACCCGAGTAGAATTGCGATGATGGACATTAGGTACAATCTTAGCAATCGAACCAGTCTTAGTAGAAGCAGTCA